ACATACGCGTCTCGCTCTGCAGGCGCCGGAACCGGAAGTTTCACTATGCCTGTTTTAATCTAAAACTATAAATAATATGCTATAATCTTATAAATAAATAATAGCAATTTTAACAATCAATATAATAGTGAATTCATAACAAATAATGTGACTTTTGATGAGTAAATTCCTTTAGTGTACTGTGCAGTTCTCTTTAAACATGTTACAATACACCTCCATGCATATTCAGAAATCGTGAAAAAAAATTTGTGCTTCCAAAATCCCACTGTGCTTGAAAACATATATCCGCACTCACCAATTATTAACCACCTCCCATCCGCCAATCGTTGAAAGACGGCCGGACGGGAGTCGCATGGATGCGAGTGGGCGTCGTTAGACGTCCTTCATGCGCGCGCACGAGCGGGAAAGCGTCTGGATTTTAAACAGCCAGCAAAGGCCGTTTACATACAAGCGGTCCTGGCAACTGTGAAGACGCCCGATCGCTTGTATGATGGAAGTGAAGGTGCGCCCCCCTCCTTACCTCTCGTTGCTGTCCCCGCCGCCGCGATCCTGGGCGTCCATCCATCCCGGGCGATGTGGCTCTGTGCACTGAGGACGGGGGGAGATAAGTACCCGATCTCCCTCCGCTCTCCTCCCGGTCTCTGAATGCAGGAAGTGATTTATATTACATCACTTCCGCATTCCTCTGTCACTCTCCGGTACAGAAACCGGAGAGAAGCTGATGAAGCAGATATGTGCTCCATCAGCTTCTCTGGGGGTCCTTAGGTGACATTAGGGGTCTTAGAGACCCCTGATGTCTCCATAAAGGGGACCTGTAACTGTAATTTATTATTACATAGGGTACTTATTAGCACCCTATGTGATAACAATAAAATAAAGTGTAAAAAAAGTTTAAAAAAAATTCTCACAAAATAAATAAAAATCTACACACCCAAAACAAAAAAAACCCCACAACATTTGTTTGTGTCCCCCACCGCCACATTGATGGGCAAAAATGCGTTAGTTGCACCTAGACGCGAAAACGACGATTGCTCCAATTATGCTGCACGTGTTACATATCGCTGTAAACGTTGCAATGAGAGCAGACATTTTAGGGCCATCAATCACTGGTAACACTAAACTGATGAGCGGTAAAAAATTTAAAGCGTTGCCTATGGCCAATTTTGGCTGTGGTGTTTTTTTGCGATTTTTGCGGGCGCGCGCAATTTTAGGGCCTGACATGTTTGGTGTCTATTTACCAGACGTGATCCCGCCTTTTACATTTTACAAAAAAATGGTGTAAAAATAAATGTTTCCTAAGATAATAAAGGGAAAACCATTTTTTTTAAAATATTCTGTACTTTTTTGTTATATAGTAAAAAATAAAAAAAAATCTCTATCTGTCCCCAAAAAATGGTGCAAAAATCATTTCAGTACAGCGTTGCATGACGGAATAAACGTCAGCCAAAGTACCGCAGAGCTGAATACTGAAAAATGGCTTGGACAGGAAGGGGGTGTAAACACCCCGGTCAGCAAGTGGTTAATGGCCACCCTCATACAGATGAGCCATCAAAGCTTTCCAAAGAGACTCCTTTCCCCACCTCTGGTCCACCAGCATAAAAAAGGTTAAGCACCTCCCTTTCTAGCAGCTGCACAGTCTCCTTTTTCTTGTGCCCATTTACTCTTCCATGGGTACTTAAGAGAAAAAAAACAAGCTCCCCATTGTGCAGTATTTAAAAACGAATTTATTAATCAAAATTAACCCCTTGCCGCCCATCGTAAAAATACAGGTGGACGGCAGATCCTTCCCGGCGGGTGGACGTACATGTATGTGATTTTTTTTCTCTGCTCGTGTGCGCCTCCCAGGGGGCGCACACAAGCAGAATCCCGCTGGGAAGGTTAACAGCCGCTACCGGCTGTTTTATACAAGCATTCGGTGCCCCTCCCACTCCGTAGCCGCTGTCAGTTATCCTGGGAACCGCTGTCCCCCCTGCGGTTCCCGGGACTGAGAGGACCGGCACAGCGGCTGCTCCATAAAGAGGACCTGTCATTTTTCTCTAGCTTATTACATATGGGGATTTTTAGCCCCCTATGTGAAAACAATCAAGTTAAGTGTAAAAAAAATAAATTAATGTCTCATATAAAAAAAAGTGTTAAGTCCCCCGCACGCACGCATTTCTACATGTAAATATGCGTCGGGTGCGCCTACTTGCAAAAACAATAATTATGCCACACGTTACATATCACCGCGAACGTCGCAGTGAGAGCAATAATTCTAGGCCCATCAATCACTGATAACACTAAAATAATGAGCGATAAAAGCTTTTAAAGTATCGCCTATGGCCAATTTTGGGTATGGTATTTTTTTTGCGAATTTGCGGGCACACGGAATTTTAAAGCTTGACATGTTTGGTGTCTATTTACTCGGCGTGAACCGTTTTTTACAGGTTAAACTAGAATAATTAGACTATCGTGCAAAAGTTCATTTATTTCACTAATGCAACTTAAAAGGTGAAACTAATATATGAGATATACTCATTACGTGCAAAGCAAGATAATTCAAGCCGTGATTTGTCATAATTGTGATAATTATGGCTTACAGCTCATGAAAAACCCAAATCCACAATCTCAGAAAATTAGAATATTACATGCAATCAATAAAACAAGGATTGTACATAGAACAACATCGGACCTCTGAAAAGTATAAGCATGCATATGTACTCAGTACTTGGTCTGGGCACCTTTTGCAGCAATTACTGCCTCAATGCGGCGTGGCATGGAAGCTATCAGCCTGTGGCACTGCTGGAGTGCTATGGAAGACCAGGATGCTTCAATAGCGGCCTTCAGCTCTTCTGCATTGTTCGGTCTCATATCTCTCATCTTTAGCATTAAATAATACTATGTACAGATGAAACAAAGAAATAAGCCATCAAGTTTGGATCTTAGGAGTTCATTAATTCATGTCAGCTTAAGATTGTATCTTACCAACCAACTTCTCAGACTGTGGTTACATCCAAACAACTGCAGAGGGAAATATGGCAACTCCGGTATATCATAATAAGCCTGTAAAAAGGATCCTCCAGGTTTTCTAAATTACCAAAAAATATGATTGCCGTGGGATGCGGGTGAGAGAGACAAATAAGGGGGAGATCCCATCAGTAGCCAGAAACTCTGGGAACTCATTAGTTTGTTTAAATGTGCGCTACGTTATGCTTATGGACTTTGCTATATACACATACTGTCAGTGAAGTTTTTCTTATTTCATCTGGATTTGGACCTTTTGGACCATTGTATTAGATGTGGTATCAGTAAAGTCCAGCATATTATTTTAAATTTAAATATCAAGTTGACTCTCAGTTCATTTATTGCAGATGAACTGTTTATTCAGTACATGTGAACCTTATGACCAGCAGGGACACCTGAAATTGTTTAATGTAATACCTATGTACCTTTGCACTGCAGCAGAAAAGGCATCCATTGTGTGGATTTGCCATTTGGTTGTGTATCATCCTTTTTGGTTACTATTTCTTCATAATGTTTGGAGCCCATTGATGCTTTATATCAACATATATACTGTATATATGTATATATATCAACTATCATTGATGCTTTATATCAACATATATATATATATACTGTGTATGTATATATATATATATATATCTATCTATATATAGATAGATAGATAGATATATATCTATATTTTTTTTTATAACAGTCTAATTGCAATACTGTTAAAACCAAGATCATTAGTTGCAAAGGAATCTTGTTTTAGTAATTTTTCAACAACAATACCTGCATGTTATCCAGCTACCTTAAATTTCTGCATCTCTCATGAACTGTTTGTAGCCCAGATAAGTGCTCAGTCTACCATTGGCCTTAAAATAGTCTTGTATCTAAGAAATGTCTTTTTTTTTGGTTATCCATATATATTTACTGGCAACCAACTGCTTTAAAAAATACAATATCCATTCTCTTTGTCACCTGTGCTGAAAGAAACATGATGGCTGCTATTGCTGACCTCCTTCTGAAAATGCTAGCTGCCTGAAAAGAATGCTAACCAACTGGCATAATTACATTCTAAGCCATTGACTTGGAACAGTTCTTTTCCGAGGCCGTCACCTGGAACAAGCTTGGAGTTTAGGCGTTCTGACATCACTTACTGCATGCTTGTTCCAGGTGACAGCCTCAGAAAAGAACTGAAGTCATTAGTTCAATTGACAGCACGGCCATGCAACATGCATTTTCAGAAGGAGAAATCGGCAATGTGAGCCTCCACATTCCTTTCAGCACAGGTTTCCTTGAAATCACATTTCGTATTGGTATAACTTTTTTTTAATTTCAGTTGGTTTTGGAGGAAAATGGTTTATAGTGTTCTCTTTAATTTCAATGTCCTTTAATTGTGTGCCTCATAAAACAGATCTATTGTCTGAAACTTCAATGTTTTTCTATATTATTTAGGAATGAAAGAAGCTTTGTTGACAAGTGTTGGAAGGATGTACGTGTTGGAGACTTTGTCAAGCTGTTCTGTAATGAGATCATCCCAGCGGACATCCTGCTTCTCTATTGCTCCGATCAGAATGGTATCTGCCACATAGAAACTGCTAACCTGGATGGAGAGACAAATCTAAAGCAAAGACAAGTAGTCAAAGGCTTTTCAAATCAAGTAAGTAAAGCTGTGCACTTGTTGCAACAGTGGTTTAGATCCAGTTTGGGTAGCTGGGAAACAGTAGACATCAACTATATTAAAATGTTTATTAAAGTGACACTAAACGCAAGAGTTAAATCTTAAAAATCCATTCAAGTACCTTAACTAATATCAAACATGTAGCTTATTTGTGCATCACTCCGCTATAGAGCTTCATATCAAGTCCAGTTTAAATTGCCTTTAGATGCTTTTTTGTCTGTGTTGCAATAAAGGGATATTCTGTAAAAAGCAGCTAAATGCAATGTAAACTGGACTTGATATCACTTTTAAATATATTTTTTTGTGAATACACGTATCCTTAATTGATTACCTTTTGTATATTGAGTCTATGGTCTTTTCCCTCACATAGTTAGAGTTAATACTAGCTTAATAAAATAAGCTTTTTGTATTGAAGGTTGAAGACATTTTAAGGTAAAGTCTGCCTTTGTTGTATGGATAGCACCAAGGTGACTCAGATATTAACTTTGCATTTGACATTTTAGAAAATTTCTCCCGAGCTGTGAATTTAAAATAAGGTCTAATTCAATCTACTCTTTTGATACTGTTTAACATTAGAAGAGTGCTATTATGTGCCAGATAAATGCCATCTTCAACATACTAGATACAGATGTCATTTGTGTAAGAGAAAAAAATTCAAAAAATAAAACTTTGTAGGCGTTGAACTTTGCATTCAAAAGTTGTCATCGTTACCTTTGTGGGATAATTGCTCTTCAAAATGAAAGCCACAGATAGAATTAATACACCGACCAGGTTAAATGAACATTCCTTTCTGACAGCAGGTTAGCTATGAAGAACTTCTACATTCTTCTTTTTCCACATTCTGTTAACACGTTTTTCTTAATAGTTACTTGTACAGCATGTAATCATTTTAAAAGGTTAAAGTAGAAATATAGATATAGAAAACTATTTTTAATGTTCCATGTGCAATCTACACTGCCTTCCACCAATGCTGCTCCAAGGGGCCAATGCACAGATTTGGAGATTTGACAGCAAGGCCCCTGTCAATCGAGCAGAGCAGGGCCAGGTGGTGGGCTTGGCTGGAAAGCTGACTATAGCTACTGTAACTCCAGTTAGCATGTTGAGGGTTGCTAACTAGCCATGCAAACATACAGTATATTTGATTCCACTATTGGTGTAGGCGGTATGCTTCAGGAAGAGAAGGGAATTGGATTTCCCAGGAATTTGTTAGGAAATCAGAGTAGCAATGCAAAAGGAGGAACTAGTGCAACATTCATATTTAATTTTTTTTTTAAAAAGGAAGACATAACTTTTAAGAGTTACATACACTTTAATTTAAAGTTGTGTTCTGTTTAAAATGTAACTTTTGTTTTTTTTTAATGTAAATTACATACATTGCAAGGATTCTAGTGTACTTTGTCTCATCTCTTCTAAGCAAACTGATATTTGTCTTAAGCTGGCCATACACATAAAAATGTGTCTTGTTCAGCCCCATGGCCATCATCTTTCTTCCAGACCTACGTAGGGCAGCATGACAAAAGGGGCAGAGCTTGTGCCAAAGAGGTGTTATCTGTAAGCCCTGCCTAGCCCTGCATAAAAGTTGTGTTTTAAAAAGTTTAAGGCTTGATTCACACTTAATGTTTTTTTTCCAGTGCAGACCCAACATAGACAACACAATTTGCCCTGCCAGCAACCATATTTAACTATTTATTAACCACTTGAGGGCCAGCATGCTAAACTGCCTTTTTGTCTAGGCTTTTTTTCAGTGCTTTGACAATTTGACAGCCTTCATTTACTATATATAAAAGACTGAAAATGTACAAAAAAAACATTTCCCTTACTCTGTTATGAAGCATAGCAAATAAAGATGCCAAGACAGGGCCACAACTCCCCAAATGATCCTTTTTGGATGTTAGACACTCTAAAATGATCTGATTTTTTTGTCAGTTTTTTTTAAATAAAGAAACATGTTGACATTGAGGGGATTAAAACCTGGAGCTTAGTAATGGTGCACTAGATACATTAAATGTACAGATAAAACAGTGGGAGGAGGAGGTAAGGGGGACAAGTCATATTCAGTGGGAGGATGGGCACAATTCACACCAACGTAATGCCATGTGTTGCAGTGGTGTACACTGAAAAAAAAAATTTCAGCACAGCTGGCCTTAATGCAGTACAACCTCATCGCACTACACTGTGCCCAGAAAACGTGATGTGACATTTCACATCATTTGTGACATTTCAATAAAGTTCCAAAAAAAAGAGAGGGAGACAAAAAGCAAATGGTGTGATGCAAGATCAGTGCATCAGAACAGTGACTGCTATTGCACAAGTGGCTGTACATTGTAGCGCAGCCACTGCTGTGAATGCAGCTTAACCCCTTCGTGACTGACGACGTACAGTGTACGTCACCAGCAATTTTACAGCTGCATAAACCACACTGCTGCAACACTTAAGCTGGCCATACACCTATAGATTTTCTGCAGATTCTCTATGGTCAGATGGAAAAAGTGCATCAGATTCCTCCATCTACGCTAAACTGTGTGGATGGATGAATTTCCCGCTGGGCCAAGCTTCAGCATCTTGCTAGTCTGCCCTGCTGGCTCTCAAAATACCTGAACAATGCCTGCATCCAATCAGATTGTTCAGGTATTTTGACAGCCAGCTTGGCCGACTAGCAAGATACTGAAGTTTGGCCCAGCGGGAGATTCCTCCATCCACACAGTTTAGCGTAGATAGAGGAATCTGTTGCACTTTTTCCATCTGACCATAGGCTGAAAATCTATAGGTGTTTTGCCAGCTTTAATATCCTTGTTTATAGTTAAGGAGTTCATTATGCCATCTAACATAAAAAGTTACACTTCTAAGATCATCTTTCATGCTATCTGCACACTATTTTATTAATGGGTGTAAATTTTGTCATTGCAATTATTCAGATTATAATGTTATTTTCATACCCACACTGTGTGCTGTTTTCACACTACACAAATATAATGATAAAATATTCCATTAAAGATGTGTTAGCTAGCACAGCTGCCAACAAGTTGTTGGATCATGTCTGAATGTTTAACCTGCATCTATGGTCTGCTTACTGGTCAATAATATACTTCCTTTTGACTGGTATGTGTTATGACAGTAATGAGCAACTTTAGAATCTTTTCCTGTCATTCTCCATTTTTTTTAAAAAACATGGATTTCTATGTTCTTGTTGTTTCTGCCGTGTTAGGTTGCAGTATGCGTTAGTCTCCTGACAGCCCACACAAATGTATTCTTATCATACACTGAAACTAGTTGCTATGCGGCATGGAAAAACTTTTAATTCTGGCTATCGTAGAGCTGTGTTAGCTAGAAAATCTTCTCTGCTTAAGACTCTGGAATGCCCAGTTTGAAATCAGACCATGTAGAATGAGAAAAGTAAAAAATAGGGCTTTAAGACTCATCTTAAATGCTTTCCTAATAATTCTATTTATTTCAGCTAGTAAAAAAAAAATGCACCATACTGGGAGATCAAAAAAGCTTTCACCCCTATTTTTATCACAAAAGCTCTTCAACATTTATATTATGCCATTGCACAATTTGTGACAAATTTCCACCTGAACGTGGTCATCAGGTTAGTGTATATAAACTATCCAGTAGCTAGTTCATGCCTCAGTTATTACATTTGAGTGGTCTCTGTGCTTTTTTTTTTTCCAGCTCAGCTCATTTGTTGCAGCCATTGGAAAAAGGGGTCTCACAGTCTGTTGTATTTTTTACCTATCATAAAATATGGAAAATACAACAAAAAGTAGAATTATCTCTACTTCAGCAGAAGAAGTGGAACCCAAGGTAGCAGTGAGTCAGGAAAAACATAATGGTAATATCACTATGAGAGCACATGAGGAACAGAAGCTGGGAATTGTTTCGGCTAGCATCTGCTAAAATCTCTACAAAGTCTTAGAAACTATGCAATAGGACTGTTTTTACTGATATTGATATGAAGAAGATCAAATCTGAATCCTTAATTAATGATATTTATAATTGTTTCACACCATAGTTTATTTCTACACTGTAATCCAGGACGTGCGAATAATCAAATATGTGCAAATACTAAATGCTTCAGAATGTTGTGTGATTTTCTTTCCTTCCACTTTCAAAACAAATCTTCAGTTCTTTAGTATACCTTTTTTGGGGTCTAGTTTATTAATATTGGGGAAACCACATAAGAGGTTTCCCAATCAGGTTTCAACATCTGTGAAGTTAGCGCCTATTGACTGAACTGAAGCACTACTTGAACACTCTAGTCTGCCAGCACTGAGAAAATGTGTTGTTGTTTTTTTTTGTTTTTTTGTAAAAGTTAACTTGTCCTTTAAAGGAAAAGTAGTATAGTGCATTTTCAGTGAACACATGATTTGATTTGTTGTTGATGCAGTGTTTACAGTAACATAATTTTATGTGACTTTTATATTTTACATACTTGCTCTTCAAGGCAAAGTGACAGAATCTCTTCAAAGGGAACTCCCCACCTGCTGATACCTACCTTCTCCATGTTTCCCTTCCACTCAATTTATCTGCAGGAATGCCTAAAAAGTAGTGTTGTATGTAGCACCCCCTACCCTCCAAAGGTATGTGAGAGACCCCAAAGGCAGGGTAGGCTAGCATTTAACCACAGGGTCTGTTCCATGGCAATAATGGAGCAATACAGACAGATGGGCACTATTCATTTTTAGATGCAACAACAAAAAGTGTATTGACTCTCGCTCAACACTCCTGAGAGAGCAGATTGGGCACAGGGCAAACATGGACTTGCAGATTTCAAAATAGAGAGACAAAAAGTACCTACAGCTTTCTCAGGTATAGAACCATTAAGCCAGCCCAGAATTATGTGACATCAGCTCTTGGCTGTAAGGTTCTGGCTAGATCAGCTACTGACGATTCCTTGAGAATTCACCATGCTTTAGTCAAGGGCCAAGCATCTTCACAATGGGGTCTATTCACTAAGCTGCCATAGGCAGCCGAGTGAA